TAGAAGTTGAGCCGGAGCACCTGTCAGAGGTTTTGGGCCCATCTGTACAGTAACAAGCAGCTTAGTCCCATGCCTGCAGCAAGAGGTGGAGCTGGCACCGTCTGGCTTGGGTTACTGCCCTCCTGGGTGAAAGCATGCGTGTGTGTTGAGGGTTATAGCATGACTAGTTCATGTTAGCTCATTAGAAGCATGAGGAAATGCAAGTATGAGTGTGTGTGTGTGTGGGGGGGGGTGGTTTACAGGTGCATCCTCTTTATACTTTGTATTTGTTTATGCACATGCTTCGTTAATTTGTGGCCCGCGTGCCTGAGGGATCATAATGATTTAATGTCTATAAAGGAGGAGAGTTGTGTAGTTACGACGGGCTGAGAGGTTTACGAGAGTTATAAGCACAGCTGCATCCTGCATGTAGACAAATATGGCCGAGCCAAAGGTCTAAAGAATGAGAACTGTGTGGCATGGGTGTGAGCAATACAGGAACACTTACATTAGTTTATGGGGTTTCAGCAGTAATCTCTGTTGCCAAAGCAGTTCAAAACATTAAAATAACTTCGAGTTGAAAAATGCATGGCATTCAACACTGATGTTTACTTAAACTGCAGATTTGCTTATTAATGTCTAAACTGAATGTCTCCAAATTTAGAAATAGCATTTAAGATGTCACAGAAACATATTAAAAGCTTAAAACCATGTTTGCCTTTTTTTTTTCCCCTCAGTAACCCAATGTTTTCCATTGGGAGTACAATCGTGTATAACCCATTTCCCACCATGATCTGGTCTGTAAAGATTAAATATGTAGCCGTATCATCAAACATTTAACGCTCACACTGCTACAAATCAGATTCCCAACTGTGTGTGTGCCGAGTTTGGGGGGAGAGCGCCTCACGTGCATGTCTTGATCCTAAGTTGATGTGAGTGTGCTGCTTGCATGCTAGAGTAATTCATAAAAAGTTGGGCAGAGTTGCAGGCAGACGAGCGTGCATATTTTTAAACTGAGTGTTAATTGTTAAATCAAGGAAACAGTGTTTTCTTATGGTGTGGTTGAATACGTCTATCCCTGTTTGTTTCCCTGCATAGCGGAGGCTGTGAAGTCTCCTCGGCACTGGGTAAAGTGGGCTAAGTTTACTGGGGCAGAAAATCCTGGAGCATGACTCAATCCAGTGCCTTCATACAACCAGGCCCTAAAATATGCCTCTGTCGCATTCTGTCTGCTCAGTGCATCCAAGACACACACATACTCTGTGGCGAGTGGCTTGTGTATAGAACAAGCAAGACAGCGGCTCCAACCAAGGGAGAAAAGGTGTAAGGTGTGTATTATTCTTGTGAATGGCTTCTGATCCCCTCGCATATCAGAAGTTCTTTTCATTTTCTCCTCAGATCTTTCAAAGGATATTTTCTGCGGTCTGAGTGTGAATGGGTCCCTTTAAAATCCAAGGTGACTTTCACTGCAGAATGACATAAGATAGTAGCGTGCACCTGCCTCACTCTTCACAGGTATTTCTAGAAATGCTGCAAACACACACACACACACACAAATGCACACGGTCTCACAGACAGACACAGAGCCATTCCCTGCATTGTGGAATGACAGATTTGGGTTGCGGAATGACACAGCAAAATTCTCATTACTAACAGCGATGAAGTGAATGATTTAGCAGAATCCTTTGCATCTGCGCTGCCTGTCGTTTATAACCCAGAGAAAAAGAGACAAACTGTCAGCAAAGATAAAAAGACAAAAACATTTGCATCATGTAAAAATTTCTGCTAGAGCTTTAATCAGAGAGAAAACGCATCACGCAATGACATTTAACTGGCCAGTCAAACCATATGCGGTCACCACAACAGGCATGCGAGCTTGTAAAGTGCAGTGCTTGGACTTAAATGCCTTCCCGTCCAAATTTAAAGCTGGCAGTAAACTCTTTCGACAGTTAGGTGGAGACAGGTGCTTAAGAGGCTTTATCAACATGTCTGGAATAGGTGGCCCTACTATTTTTGAATGCTTGTATGTATACAAACCTCAACTGACTTGGAAGGCTGCCAGGAGTTTGATTAGCACATATCCCTATTTTGCACACCAGGTGGACATCATGATCAATCAGGCTCACACAGGCGCACGCTCTGTACTCTCGCCTAAAATTAGATTTAAAGAGAAAAACTGTCCTCGGAGCTTTGAGTGTGAAGAAGAATCAGAGAGTCTTGTTAAAGGCCCATTTTGTGATGCACAATCTGAACTGCTGCCACTCTGGTGCTCTTTCTGATTATGGGATTAGTGGGACGGTCAGCTTTCAGGAGGAAACTGATGGTTGCAAAAAATAATAAACATCTCACTGTTCCAGCTTGATTCATATTAAAGTACAGCATACACTGCAGCTTTTTAGCTAAAGGGGGTGACAAAGCATATAACAGTTAAATATAGTTCAATATGCTTGTTGAAGTAGCTAGTATTTAATTCTACTTTTATATATATGTACATGAATACATATGGTAGTCTTTGTGTATCTGTGCATATGATAATCGACGCAAAGCAGTCTTACATTAAACCTTTGTCAGTCGCATGCCAATATGTTCGAGTATACACATTTATTAGTGCCTGTGAGTTTGCAGTTGTGCATGAGGGAATATAATTGGTTTATCCAAAGAGGTGAGGAGATATTCAGCTCTCTGTGAGTCACCTGTCGTAAAAACATTGCACAGAGGATTCATTCCACTGTCTTCATTTATGTTCCCTTAGACACACAGTCTAGATTATACAGAGAAATCTGGGTTTTAACCCTGCTCGTGCCAAGAAGGAGTCACACCGGGACATGCTGTCCTGCGTTGTCTCTCAGTTGGGGGTTAAGCTCTTCTCTAATTATAAATGCTAGGCTAGGCTACCTGCCGCTATCTCTACACTCCTCTTGGCATTCGGACTCCATGAGCTGCCTGCCTCGCAAGTCTTAATGGTCATATACTATCAATCTTCACCACGCTAGCGGATATTTATAATTCATGCAGCATGCAGATGAAAATTAGAGTGATATTTCTAAGTTATTATGGGTGTTACATATTCACAGCAGTCAGCATTAGGAGCTTCAGGAAGGCGGGATGGCCTCCTGAGGGCAACAAAGGACTGATGGATGTGCACTCTTTAACACCCAGTTGTGTGTATTATGGGGTCTGAATGTGTCCTTATATGTGTGTTTATGCTAAACCTCTCTGTCTGGTTTCCTTTTCATTCTTTCTCAGCCCTATTTGTTACTGTTCCCCACCCCTTCCCCTAGACTTCATTTGCAGGGACGTAACAACATCAAATCACAGTGCAAAACTGTGAGTTGCACCCCAGTCCTCTGGACTGCAGAGTTGAATGTGAGGACTGATGAGTTCATGAGTTCATGATGATCTCACACCCAAGAGAGTTTAGAGAGCATAGGCCATTGGCATTCTGGGAGTGCATGGATCAGGAAAATAGGGCAGGATGAGGAGGACTGGCTCGAAAAAATTTTTTAGAGGGATGTCTGTGACACCCAGTGAGAGATGAAGTAATTGGAGCAGTTAGAAAACGGTTAATTGTGGAGTCAAAAGATGGAGACGATGATGGATGTGACCATCAGCTTAAACAATGCAGGGACATTAATTAATTATTATGTCTGAAACTGGTTGCTTAATTAGTCCTTTGGCTTATTTCCGGACTTTTGTGTTGTTACTATGATCTTCTGCAGCTTCCTGTTGTAGCCTGAATTCTGATAGTAAATGCAGAAAGTCTTCCTCTGTGCACTCACATCCTGTTTGTTGGTCCAGCCCAGCTAAACTCATTTCAGTCTGATCCGGCCTTTCTGTTTTTTCTCTTTCTTGTTAATGAACACAGAATAGTGGTGGTGGGGGGTACATTCCACCGGCTCCCGCCAGAAAAACAGAAGCAACCACTCTCCAAGGAGTGTCCCACCAACATCCTCTGTCTCCCCGCTTCCCCTCGCTTCTGCTCTCCTTCCCCTCTTACTGAATTACTGCCCCCTCGGCTATGCACCCTTATTCTCCCCCTCCCGCCTCCAGTCTCCCCCACATACCCTGCCTTCTACAATCGCCCCACCCCTGCTGCAACTGTTACATAAGCTTCCAGTCATAGATCCAGGCCATATCGCTCTTGTTTTCCCCCTTGTGTGTCTATGAGAGCCTCAGCATCCAAGGCCAACCCTTAATGAGGCTACCACAAAGGCCCATTGATGAGAGGCCCAGTGTGAGAGAGGATGACCCCAGCCAAGAGCACCCAGAACTGTGCATCAGCTGCCCCAGGCTCTCCCTCGGCACAAAGACGCCCACTGTGGACAGAGACCTGAAAAGGCGCCGAGAACAAGAAGGGGAGAGAGAAATGTGAAAAGAGGGTAGAGATAACTCAAACAACTTGGAAAATGCTAGAGCGATATCAAAAAGGTCAGACATATGACTTTGTCACAAAATAGTTGCCTCTCTGAGTGTCAGTTCTCCCATCAAGCCGTACGCCTTCTCCTCTCATCCTCCTCTATGCATCCTAGCAAGAACAGTGAGACCACCCTCTGCCCTCCCTCTGCCAGGGAGTTGTCAGTGTCTTCATTTCTCTCATGGATCATAACTTAGATGTGAAGAGGAGATTTGGGAGCCAAACTTGCTGGAGATAGTCTTGTTTGTTACAGCTGGCCATTTGGGAATCTTGCAGTGGATGGAGAATAAAAGTGAATTGTTGAAAAGTTAAGTTGGACTGTTACTGGCACAACTCTTTGGAAGAATTGGATATTATATAGCTGATATGGCTTTATTACTTTCTTTAAGTTATTTATGAGGATTAATCCCATGAGCGAACTGAATAAAAGAGAGAAAGAGAATTTTTCTTAAGTATTTTGTAGAAAAATTACTTCTTTTTTTGTTGCCGTGGTTGTTGATCAGTTGAACGATGACTCTTTCTGCACGACTCGAGGACTTAGAGGTGACCTTGGAACACATGCTTATGGACGTTTTCGTAAGTTTCTCCACAGTTTCTCTTGCTCAACATTGTTTTAACATCTCTTTAAAAAATGCTTTAATATACCCATCTTCTCTGTGTTTTATATGGGTGACCTCTCCAGCGCATAATTTCAGCTGGAGATGGGGGCTGACATATGTTCATGCAACATTCCAGATGCTCTGTTCTTAATTGGTGCTGAAAACACATGCTTATTAACCATCAAATTCTCTGCTTAGGGAGAATTATGGAATAAATTGGCTGACCAGGAATATAACCTGAACTGCTTGGCCTAATATGTGAGTCAACATAAGGTCAGCCCAGGGACTTAAAACTTTGGAAATTTTAACTCAGCGTATGAGGAGCTTTTGTCCAACCAACTCGAAAGTATTAAATGTAGGCAGTGGGCTTACTTTCTGTGGTCTGCATCCTTCATATTTATCTCTCGATAGCTATAAATCTTTTGATTAGCAATGAACGAAATCTCCAAGTAAAGGAATTGGGAATCGAGAATGAGGAAATGGGGGATGAAAGAGGAATGAGAAGTAGATGGAAAGTCTGATGGATGTGATAGGCGTGTTTCTGTCGCTTGTGACGCTTGGATAGAGGTAGATTACTCAGATCCCTGTGGTTGCTAAAGCATTTTGGGCTGCTAGAACTGCATCCCACACAGACATTTAGATACAAAAACACATGCAGCTTACATGGTCTACCTCAGCACACACACACAGACAGACACACTTTGTAAATGTGACATCAGAATCCCTGGTTGCTTTGATCTGCCGGCTGCTGTAATGAGTTTGGTCGTTAAGCTGCTGTTTCCCTTTAACATTGTTTACAGGCACAGGCATCTGTTCAAGGAACTGTAATCTGTCTTCCCTGAGATATATATTCAGTGAGCACTATCAGCATTCAATCCGCTGCCACAGGGCTTCAGTGTCACTGAAATATGCTGGGATTTTTTTTTTTGTATGCGCGGATCCATCAAACTACTTTGGAGATTTGGTCATTTTCTTTCTGTATATCCAAAGGATGATTTATGACCATGGCAATAAAGATTACTGTTTATGGCCAGAGCAACATTTGGATTATTCATGCACCGCATGTGGGACGGAAAAATTGGAGTAAGGAAAATGCTTCCTTCCTCTACATTTCCTCTCAACATCCTAATTAGAACGCTTTTTTATTTATTTCTCTAATTGCTGGAAGAGGGTGGAAAACAGAGGGTTATCTGGCCACTTTGCATACTTAAATGAGAAATATTCAAATCGTGTGCACACATTCCAGACTGCTGGCTAGACGTATGCGCATATGGCAATGCATGCATACACAAACACTCACAACATGCAGACGTGAGCTACGCAGAAGCCTATTTCAGTGAACCATCAAGTAAGGGAAGGGGGAATTAAGGACTTATATTGGAAGACTTACCAGCAGTAGATGGTGTTATGGATCAGGCCTGTGATATTGTATATAGTCGTCCTTGTTGTAAAGTGTGTATTCAATAAGTCTGACTGTGTGTATGTGTGAATTAGGACAGTTAAGCTCAGAGACCAGGATCGTTATAGGAAAATTAAGGATCATTAGAATAATGACAGCAGTTCTCCATCCTCTGGTAGAAAAAGACCTCCAGAGCCCTATCTATGCTGCTCACTGGCTTAGAGCAGCAGTGAAGTGCGCAGCTATATTCAAGGGCTCACTGCTATTTTCATTAGCACAGCTGCACATATGAATGATTTAGGGAAGCTGAGAGGATCCGAGGCAATGAACTTCCTTCACAGCCTCTTTTACTACTAGAAAAGGAGGTCACTATTTTGTTGCCACATTCGCTCGCAGGAAGCTGGATATTTCGGGTCAGCAAAGTTGTTGTTTTTTTTTAAATTCAACACTGTTAAAATAAGCTCACACGTGTGTGCTCCTTTGAAATTTAATGAACCAGTAATGTGATCTGTATCTGCTGATTGGATTTTTTTCTTGTTGCTATGAAATACTGGTTTCTGGCATCATATCATCTCACGCCAGAGCTGTTGTGCATTGTGCTGCTGAGCTATGAGGAGAGGAGAGGACACACAGACAGGGAGGCATGGCAACTCCTCTTGCAGAGGATGCCTCGCAATCTAGCACAAAGGCTGACTGTCACATCAGCAACTGAGGCAGCGTGATTAAAAATGCATTCAATCCCTGTGTAGTTTAATTGAATCTCCTCCTTGTGCACCCCACAAACACCTCCCAATCATCTCTTCCAACATCACATCTATGATACAGCCTGCAGGCGGTACTAATCCTTCCATCTCCTACTCTTCCTTAGTCCTACATCCCTTCTCGTCTCCCCCATCCCCCGGTTTCTTCCGAAGGAGAAAGACCTCAGCTGGATGGGACTGCTTCCATCACAGCTGTAATGCACTGCTCTGCTTTTTTTTTTTTGTTTTCGTCTCCATCGTCTCCTCTGCTTCCAGCAGCCATAAAGCACTGGTTTATATCTTTGGGAGAGCTATTTGGTCACAAAGGGCCTGTGGTCTCTGAGAGCATTCACTCCGCCAGGAGCACAAACACTGTGACGTACCGATACCAAGCGCTTCCTTGTCACAATGAGAGTTTTGCTACGGAATTATACAACATGCGTGTCTACAGTACATGCATACAAAAAGCCTCTTTATTAGCAAACTATTCTCTTTTGACTGCACTGCTGCAGATGTGTTGATTCAAACATTGGCTATTGACTGAGTGTATTATGTGAGAGTATTCTGTTATGTAATGGGTGTGTTCCCTGACCAGTTCTCTGACCAGTGGCAAAATTGTTCAGCTAGTGCGAGCTGACCTCTTTCCCCTTTCTGTTTGCACCTCGTCACTCACTCTCCCGTTTGCTCCCCAGCAATCAATTGTCCTTTAATCTGAAATATTTTGATCTCGATATTGATTGAGATGTGACTTAAGTATCTTTCTTATTAACAAAAAAAAAAATCCTGCAAGAAGAACAAAACCAGCATGTGTCAGTCGATCTCTCATTGTTATTTGAGTCCGTCTTTCTCTACACTGTCTGCATCCTGCAGCCCCAAGCCCATTTGTTACTACTGGAGATATAAATATTTAAAAGCTGGACAAAAAGAAGAAGAAGTAAATAATGCCTTGTGCGGGGCTATTTGCAGTTGCAGAATCAGGGGATTGACTCAAAATAAACTACAGTCCCTATTCATGTTAATGGAACAAAAGAAAAAAAAAACTATGTCCCCCAGTGCAGCAATGGCTCATTGTTGTGTTTTGATAGCTTTTGGGCAACAACAGCTGAGAGAAATAAGCAATATCAGAGTTTGGTTATACTAATATTTGATAGCAGAATCAATTTGTTTTTATTTATGGGGGTCTTGTACGATTTACCGAGTGGAATATATTTACAAGAACGGAGAAACTTCTTTTTTTGAAAGAGATTATTCAAATTTCTTTTGAAAAAGAAGTTTGAAAAGTATAGTAATATAGTCAGTTTCTGCAATCAGATGTATCTCATTTACTTGCCTCATTAGTCTTTGGCAGCAGGATCATTCAAACAGAATTAAATAAATAAATTTAATAAAAACAACAACAAAATTATCATAAACTCGATCCCATTTTATGTGCAGACGGATAAAACCGATGAGCCATTATCATTCATCCTTCAATTTCCATCATGGTTCAGATTCGGATGTCAGCTGGCCCAGCACACGCTCAGGGCTTCCAGCACACTCGGGTGAATAATTCAGAAGCTTTGAATGCTTTTCTCTGAGGCATATTGCACATCTAGCACCACATTCAAATGTGTTTTTGCCCTGCTAATAGACTGCTGATTGGCCCATTGGAATGATATATTGTAATTCTGTTAAGACATAGATGGCTGGATAATAGCAGTGTATTTGTGGACTGCACTTGGACAAAGATTTTATTAAAGGCCACATTTATCTTCTGTGTTCCTAAGGCTAGAAAGACAGCCTGACTGCAGTGCTTTGGTGCCAACGCTTTGAACAATAATATTACGGAACAACACCTAAGCAGGTTTGCAGTTTGCACACACACTTTCGCGCACACACACACACACACATACAGACAGGTTGAGCAGATGTGTGCTGAGCGACACAGTTTGACCAGGACAACCTGTCCTAGCGTTGCACCAAATCTCTCTGAAACACAAATATGCCCCAGTTTTTACTGTGACTCATATAAAACAATCTCACAGGCGATCCATTACCTTTCTTAGCATGTAATGGTGTTTCCCGGGTTCTCTTACACAGACACTGCTGAGAAGATGGTAATTGAAGTGGATGCTTCCCTGTGGAGAAGTCATTATGATTGGTTCTGGCCTGATGAAGGGTGGGGAGGCCCCACATTCTGCTCATCTCACTCTCAGGAGATGCAAGGCTGGCATACATGTAGAAGCGCAGATGAAAGCACACAGTGAGCAGCGAATCGAGTTACGCTATCAGGGTGGTACTGTTTAGCTATACAATCGTTTATCTGTTTTGCCTGCGATGATGCTGTAACTCAACCCTTTGTAATTTGTGGTGTCTTGAAACGTAAACAGTCAATCCCCCTCCATTCCGCTTGGGACGGGGAGTCGGTCCAACTAGAGGGCATTTCCATAAACACATACTCCCACACACATACACACGCACACAGACGCACAAACATACAGAGTTGAGGAGCAGGACCATAGGGATGAGTCAGACAGCCGTGGGCAGAGACTGGCTGGGTTATCAGGGTAAATTAATGCATCACAATGCCGGGAGTCTAGCATTGGAGAGCCATCGCTTCTTATTGTTGCAACTACGAACAAAGACTAAGCAGACACGCACAAAAAAAGAACAGCAGAAATAAAACCCAGACAATCCAGCTGCTTTGTTTCCCTCATTAGCGTCTCTCAGGCGTAGATTTTCTTTTCTTTCTCTTCCTCTCTCTGCAGTTTTTTTTTCTTTTTTTGCAAATGTATTAATAGCTGATGGTTCACTTTGAGGACAGCGGGTGCTTGTGAAGCAAAGCTTGTCAGAATCTCCTAGCTTTTTCCTACAAATTTATGTTTTTGCTCTTTATCATGTACACAGGTTTATATTTCATGTATTTTGTTACCGAGCGCAAATCCCGTTTGCTTTACTTTTTTATGTGCTTTATGTGCTTGTTGACTGAAATGGGTCATTGTGCAAGCAGCCCGAGGCATCAAGAATAGTAGCATGTTGTTTTTACTTGCCTTTATTTTTTTCTCCCTCCTGTCAAGAAGAGGGCTTATCACCTTTGTGGATTTGAGGAGTTTATTGCACATTTCAAGCAAAAAATAAATAAAGAAATAAAGAAGCAAATAAAAAAGAAGAGAACAAAGGATCGCAAACCAAACTTTAAGTGCTCTATTACAAGGGTGCATTTTCATCTCACTGTCAAGGGGATGTACAGTACAGGATTTTGTGCATTGTCTCCCCAATCAGCAGCAGAGCTTGAACTATGTCATCACGATGTGAATTAATGTCAAGGAAGCACACCACACAGAGTACCAGTCATATTGCAGAGAGGGAGAGAGAAATGAACCAAGTCATTTTGGTTCCTTATCTGTTAGACCTGGATGTCTGCACACCAAGTTTAAAAATAGCCCTCTGATATTTCTCATGTAGGCCACAGTCACTCACACACCGATGGAGGCCAGGGTGATGAATAAATAATGCTTTCTGGGGATTACCACTGCAGATGATTTCCTCCTGTATGCTTGGCTCTTGGCTTTAACACAATGTGTGGGGTATTTTTGTGTGTGTGTTTGTGTGTGTGTGACATATATAGTCTCGTGTAACGAAAGCTGTCAGAGATCCTCAATTAAAGAAATGATATGGGAGAAGGAAGAAGTTGCTTCATTTTAATCACTTTACTCTAAATTTTTGCTCTGTGATCCAGCATCAGTTCACCTCTTGACTGGGATGACCAAGCTAAATTTTACAGGTTTATATTTCCAGTGTTACTGGTTAGCAATGGTTACCTTGCCTTCTCGAGATGTGCGCAGCTGTGCATGTGTGCATGGATATGTGCATACCTAACAGCTTTGCATATGTGAGCGCGTGTCGATTCACTTTATTTAATCAGCTGACAGCTTAGTATTGATGTGCCGGAGTAAAAAAAGAGCACAGCAGTGAGTGATGATGTAGATATGACAAGGTGCAGCAGTAACTCTTGATTCCAATAGCTTTAATGGACATGTAAAGACCACAATGGTGGATACAGAGGACTGACTCAGCTGAATGAAGCCGCAGCTAGTCGCAGATCTCTACCGCTGCGGTTTTACCATGATAAAAGGTCTCCGCAAAGGCCAGATCAATACTCCAAACTGTCCACTGCTGTCACAGCTTTGTGGAAAAAACTCTGGCCAATTGCCACAGTTGCCCCCATATAGGCAAAGAACCGAGTGATAATATGATCAATATCTGCATGCATGAGCAACATGCATGCTGGTCTGTGAGGATGCATGCTAGTGAGTGTGTATGTATTCTTCCTTTGTGTTCTATTCCAGACAGTGCAGGGAGAGAAAGCTGGGATGTGGGATTTCGAAGATAATCTCCCTACCAGATGGCAAAACATCCCATATTCCTTTTGAGGTTCCCCACGTGATCCCCTGTAAGGGCTGTGTGGGTGGTGGGGGTATATATGCTCACACACAATAATTATTGAGTCATGTGACACAAGTGCGTATGCTAATAAGAGCTGTAACGTCACATTAATCCAGTGACCTGGTTAAGCCCCTGACTGAAGGAAGTGAGTATGTGAGGAAGGGAGGGGAAGCTGCCAAAGCTGGAGAGGGGAGAAGAGAGGAGAGACAAAGCACACTCCCTCTCCCTCCCATACACTCTTACACACTCATTCACCTCATGAGCGGCAGAGCGGAGTGTAACTGTGTGGAGCAGAATGGGAAGCCTTTTAACACAGAGGGAAACAGAAGCAGAGAGAGGCACATAGGACCCGTGTGGGACTTCTACAGCTACGCTCACATCACACTCTTCCTTCCCTCTAACACCGCCACGCGCAAGCTCGCGTGAACTACGGCTGTCAGGCTGGACGGGACAGCGAGGACACCCACTTCACACTCTCACACACATGCTCTCACACCCACAGACACGCGCACTCTGGAGCGTACTATGGTGGTTCAGGGAGCGGTGACGCCCGGGAGAACCCGCCGGCTGATGCTTAAGCTGCCGGTGGGGACTCTTCGAAGGAACAGTGCAGAGAGGGTAAGAGACAAGCTTCCCTCAGTTAACCTCTTTCACTTTTATCCCTCCTTCTTTGACTTTATGTCTGTTTGACAGTATTTTTTTAAGCATCTTTGTGTGTGTAAGTGGGATTTAAAAAAGGTTCTTGACTAATCCAAAGGACTATATTAGATTTGAGTTGGTGCAAGGCAAGTCAAGAGCAAAGCTTTTAATCTCTACAGTGGACAATAGTTCTCTGTGTTTCTCGTCCTGCCAGTCTGAGTCTGTCAATCTTTGTAGTTCTCAGCCTGTCTCTGTCACCACTAATGCATTCGGCCGTCCTCGGCTTCAAGGTTACAGGGAAGTCTCACAGTAGGAGTGCAGCTCGTTTGCCTGTCACTGTCAGTGCAATTAAACTCGAGAGATGGGCTTTTATCAAGCAAAGCTTCAACTTCAGCCCAGTTTAAAGCGCTGAATCCTGTGCTGTCCCAGATCGTTTTGTTTTTTTCTTTAAACAGTACAGTTCAGCTCATCTGCAAGGCACCAGAAGCTTGTGTTTACGTGTTTGTGTGTGTGGTGGGTGGAGATTGGTGGCTGGAGATAATAGTTCCCAGCTACATGGAATGTGTGGTGCAAAGTTAACCCTTGTGTCAGTTGTAAAGACACGCTGTAACTTGCCATGTAATTCATGTCTTTTGGTGCTCAGCAAAGTTGTTTACTCCTAATTGTCATGTTTCTTTAAGAAATTTAAAAAAAAAGGTTTGCAGCTGTGCTTTCATTCTGTGATGGGTGTCAGCGTTCTTTCATGCAGTGAATGCACTGGTATTAAGTGAATCACACTTAAGTACAGTGTGTGTTCAGGTGACGTGCGAACTGAAGATATAGAGCTTCCAGATTTGCATTCCAACAATCACAATCTGCTTGCATGATGATACTGACAGGAATTTCATCTTTCTTTTCAGATCTCAGTCTACTCACTCGCTATGAGGTGACTTTGGTCTCATAGATGTGCCTCTTTGAGTGGCTGGGACTCCTAAATGCCACGAGGCCTTTGGAGAATCGCCACTTTCTTTGTGGTTCTTGCTTTCACTGAACAGAGGATATACACCAGCACACGCAAGAAAACACATGCTGTGCACATGCTATCATAAATTAGATGGAAAAGCTTTCGTTTTTATGAGCCTAAATATACACACCACCGCTGCATCATCACAGTACATAAAATGCAACCTGGTTTCTTTGTTGATGATAAGCTATACAGTTGAAGTGAAAGAGATCAGAGGCAGGAGCATGTCAGACACTATATTATAGCTATGATGCATTCAAGTTATCATCTTAAGACTCAGTTTGTGTTATTATGTGTTATTAATGCTGGTATTTAGGCTCCTGGGTGGATCGCTTCTGTCTGAATCTATCTGGCATTCGTAACAGTCCTTGATTGAAGGAAATTGGAATATTCACTGCCCTTTTCAGAAATGTAATTGCTGCTCGTTGATTGGCTGGAGCCACTAACAGACACCCTCACTCAAATCACCTTAATTAACGGAGAAAAGCAGATTTTCACACACAGTCTCTCTTGATTGAATTCCATTTATCTTCCTTCCATTTTTTTCCTTAACACCAGCTGTGAGCAGACAGACTGAGGAGGGATTACTTGTTGTGATTTACATAAACTCAGTCACATTTTTGTACTGCCGCACCGGAAAAAATCACTGGCTCGATGTGGGAGGCGGTGACTGCGTCACTTTTTATGAAAAATAGTAATGAGTCAAACAAAACAGGTAACACAGCGTTTAATATGTCAACAAAAATTATTTTAAATCACCAGACTGTCTGAGTAATTTATCTGTTAAGTGATGACAGGTGAACAAGCCGTTTCTATGCGCGACGCTCTGTAAATGTTGACTGTTTGTTGGTTAATGACTTTTCCTCTCTCCGTGGTCTTACTGAGCCACTGAAATGATTTCACTTCTATTCACAGCTGCAGCTATGTGCTGCTCTGACTTGTTATGTTAGACAACTCATTCTACTCCATCTGTATCTTATACAACTACGTAAGATGGCTAGAGGGCTAAGGGAAAGAAATCTGCTTATAAGTATGTATATATGACCTGACTAAGCAAGTGAAAGGTTCTAGTGGAAATTTTATTACTGTCAGCTTAAATATTGCTAAAGCATTTTACATACTTGGAACCTAGTTTTTCATGTCCTTCAGCGTCTCCCATTTAAAAAGCACACGTTAATGGGTATGGATCCCCACTGGCTATACACTTTGCTCCAAACCATTCGGGAACTTACTTGAAATATATTTTAAAGCTTGATCCAAAAGGTGCGTTTTCACTTGTAAATTGCAGAGTGAAAACGCACCTTTTCATCTGTGCCCTGTCACTAATCTAATGCAGATGAATCGTGTCACGTCTGCATCAGTAGCTTGTGATGGACGAGTGGCTAATTAGCTATCTTTGTTCCCAGTCAGTATCTATGACATTTTAAAAAACAAAAAAAACATGCCTTGTTAACTGGACTTGTTTGTGTTTCGGGTTTTTTCCATTTGTGTTACACGTTTTCTGCATCTTGTTGTCTGTCACATGCGATTGTTGCTTACAGGTCTTTTATATATGACGTCATCCTTCTTCTGCCTCTGTGCATCAGTGTGAAAATGGGACAGAAGTACTTATGGTATTTACACCATGATGTTGTGGTGAGAAATTGCACAGTTGGTGTTGACAGCTTTAAAAAACAGCTTCTTTGAGGGGATATTTTTCAGTTTAGATTACCTCTGTGAGCTGGCTGAATTAGGATTATCTTCCTGCCTTTGTTATCTTGCTATCATGTAAAGCTGCTCAGCTTTTATCTGTGAAATTAAGAACAAAGCCAAACCCAAACAAACAAAGAGGAGAGAGGGAGGACTGGCGTGTGTGCCTGTGCGAGTGTTTGTGTGCAATTTCTGATTTTAGGAGATTGAATCGGTCTCCGGGGAAACATGTTGTTGTCGGGAGCACTGCAGGGGAGTGAGGGCATGAAGGTGGGAGGGGGGGATCGCTGTCAAAGAAGGAGAAGTTCACACAAACACATATACACATGTTCAGAACAAACATTCATGAGCTAAACAGGAATCCAAACAGACAATAACTTGACAGCAGTTACCATTACAGGGCTGAAAGCTAGAAGCAGCCATGCAAGACTTAAGGCAGGAATACTAATCGATCCTTGTTACCTTTAAACATCCTGTCTGGACCAATCACAGAGAAGGTCAGGGCTGGATTCTGGCATTCTTGCTTCTCTTACTTGTTTCCCATCAGACTGATCTAATTGCCGGGACATTAGAGTCAGAATTCATTCAAGGACTTGAATAGTTGACATGGAAACCAAAGGGAAACACAACACCCAAAATATCTGTAATTTGTTTATTATTTCTCTGCGTGTTTGCTAAAAAGTCTGACTTTTGAGCTTTTTGGCCCTAAAGCTCTCCTTTCCTTTGCTACAGTATTGATTTCCTGAGATCCCAACATGCCCCCAGGACTGTAGGTGAGAGAGCGGTGGTCAGTCAGTCCAATTAAAGAGACAAAGAGAAGGAGAAAGAGGCGAGAAAAAAAGAAAGAGGTGGGAATAACTAGAGCTAAAGGTTCGTGGCGGCCCCTCTTGCACCACACCCTGCTCGGCATGAAAGGGGACCCCCTTTTCTCCCCAAGGCAGCTCAGAATGAAGAATGTTATTGAGGCACTGAAGAAAGGGGGGTTGAACGGGAGACTCCCACCCTCTTCTCCACCCTGTTTCTTTCATTACTCTGGGCTATGATTTTTTTTTTTTTCATGTCTTTTATTGCCTGTCCAAAATCAACCCGCAGATAGACACATGGCGCAGCTGCATACAAGTTCAAAGTAAATCTGTACAGATCAAACAAGAGATGATCGCCTATGACTGTGAGTGAAGGCTGAGGACAGTAAGGCTGCTGATGATATGCTTTCTCTATGGAGACAGTCTGCTAGCGGGGTAGCTATGGTGAAAGTGGAGTCTTGTGTCCTTTGCCAAAACATTTCCAGTAGATGGATGGGATGTGTGTGTGTGTGTGTGTGTGTGTGTGTGTGTGTGTGTGTGTGTGTGTGTGTGTCAGTCGGTCTAACTATGTGTTCCCATCATCTGCCACATGCATGCAGAGCTCAGTAAGATTTCTTCATTATATCTGCTTCTCTATTCACAGAAATGACAATCATCTCAAGACAGAGAGAGTGGGGAAAAATTCAATTCAGGTTTATTTTTGTATTTTTTGTTACCTCAGGTCCTTTTTTACACCGAAAGATAAAGACATTTAACTGATATAGGAAGAAACACAATAATGTTCTTTAGGCAAGCACTGAAGAAAGACAAAGATGATCGTGGGCTGATGGGACAAAACTCCATCTCCCACAAAACAGGATGTGGAGACCCCTGAAATGTTCCTTAAATATCCCAGCACAATCTGTGCCCTTTGTTAGACAGAGATAACACGTCTCAGTGAGAACCGAGGCATGTCTGTGACTCACTCATATGAAGGGGTTTATTCATAGTTTGCATGTGTGTGTGAGTCTGTGTGTGAATCATTGTACGGCATATTAAGAAATCTAGAGAGTTGAGGGGGGATAGGCATTTTCTTAAAGTGGCAGACTTTTTTTGGCAGTTGTTTGAAGTGTGTGTGTGTGTGTGTGTGTGTGTGTGTGTGTGTGTGTGTGTGTGTGTGTGTGTGTGTGTGTGTGTGTGTGTGTGTGTGTGTGTGT